CGAGGAAACTCGCCTTACAGTCTGGTGTTAGGCCAGACTGTACGCACTGTTTTCCTTCTTGCAAACAGTCGTGCGCGCGACCTTTGCGTGCGACTATGCTCTCCGTCTCCTCCCCTCCCGATTTTAAGGGTAGCTCTTTGGGAGATGTTATAGTATCGGGAGCATAGCTCGCGCGCCGTTGCCTTTGGCCCAAGGCACGCGCGCCCTATTTGCCCGGACGCCGCGAGTGTTCGCTATGTGCTGGAAAGACCGATACATCGATCTTATCCCATCTTATCCGCCTATTCCTCATACTGTACTATCACAGCAGAGCGATGGACGCTATTTGCCATCCGATGTCTATCATGGAATCGGATGCTATTTGAGTTACCAGGCTCACTTTCGACTGAGGAGGACGAGGACGAGGAGAGGAGAGGAGGAGGAGGAGGAGGAGGAGGAGGAGGAGAGGGAGCAGGAGGGAGGAGGAGGAGGAGGCGGAGGAGGAGGAGGAGGCGGAGGAGGAGGAGGAGGAGGAGGAGAGGAAGCAGGAGGAGGAGGAGGAGGAGGAGGAGGAGAAGGGGGGGAGGAGGAGGAGGAGCGAGGAGGAGGAGGGGGAGGTGGAGGAGGAGGACCCCCCTCCAACTTATGGTGGTGGTGGTGGTGGTGGAAGACGGGCCCCTCCGAGGCGCCCACGCCCGCGGGCTCGGCCGCCAGCGCGGCCGCGAGCAGCGCTGCTCCTGCGACGCCCCGCGCGCCGCCGCCCGCCGCCGCTGGCTCCGCGGGCGGTGCTGGCGCCAGCGGGAGGGACCCAAAGATCCAGAGAGGGATCCAAAGAGCCCTGCAGGAGGGATGTGCAAAAGCAGAGCTCACATCCTGTGGGGACGACTTGTGTTCACTATTGCTGGGCATTTTTGGATATTCTCTGACTGCTTTAATGCTTCGTCCGAAATCCGCCTGGGGGACACGCACGACCTAGCTTCAGTCGCTCAGACAGTCCCGGAACGCGTTCAAAGCGTTCGGGAACGCTCTGAGAAAGCCGCGGTGCCCGATGCTCACCGCCCACCAAACCACCCCAACCCAACCCGAAGGCCTCAAATTTACCTCCATTTCCAGTGGGGGGGGGGTCGGGGAACATCGAAAAAGCAGGTATGGAGCCCATACCCCCCCCCAACCCGGAATTCGGGTCTCCGCGGGTTGGGTTGGGGTGGTCTGGTAGGTAGTCAAAGAGGGGCCCCAGACGCGATCGCGGCGCAGAACAAATCGGGGCGGCCAGGGTTTCGCCCCTCTCGGCCCCTATATAGGGGGGCCCTCGCCGGGCCCGGGGGCCGTCAGAGAGCGACGCAGGAGGAGAAGTCCCGGCCCCGTGGAAAGGGTATATCGGGACTTCTGGGGGCGCCGGCCCGAGAAAGTCAGGACGCCGCACGTCTGGGGCGGGTCGGGCAAGGTCGGGCGGCAGCTCGGAGGGGGGGGCAGGCTCCGGGGATGGCGCGTCGCGCCCAGAGCGCCCACGGATCGCCGATGGTAGCCTGAAAGCCTACCCCGCCGAGGGCCGTGTGGATTCGCTGTCGGGGGCCCATCGCGGACCTGATCGGCGATGTATCGCCGATGACAGGCGTAGGATTTCCCCCTGAGCAGGTCTCCCACCCCCTACTGTACCGCTTCCCCTCGAGAGGAGGCTGGCCATCAAGAGTCTTCCATCCCATCCCTCTCCCGGACACGGCTGTACTAGCCTTGGGGCACTGCGCTGCGTGCTGAAGGCGCGGCGGCAGATAACATTGCACAAAGCTTGACCGTGTTGCGCGAACTTGCCGGCCATCTCGGGCTACTCGCTGTATAATCGACCCTCCCAAAAACCGGCCCCCCCTTCACATGCGACCTGATATATTCCGGACCCCCTCTTCGACGGGGCGCCTTCACACGGCCCCCTACGCTCCAATCCAAAGAAAGCGCCCTAACAAACCGTACCCCCCCCGGTTACAGAAAAAGGCGCCTTCAAACATTGGAAACCGGGAACGATGAAGAAGGTTGTGGAAGTCGATTGATGGAGAGGAAGCATGCTGCCAAATAAGTTGCAGATGTCTGAAAGATGTTTCAGCTATGTTTTAGATATGTCAAAAGCCTGCTTGAAGCATGTTTAGATCATGCTCTACGCTGTTCAAACACCTCTTTCACTCAACGACAGGAGTGTTAGAGAGTGCCCATGTGCCATGGCATCCACGATGTAAGAGAAGGGATTTGGAGCACCCGGGACCACCCGTGGAGCCACCTCGGAGGCACGGGGCCGCTCGGGGGCAGGGGGGCCCATCCTCTGCGATTCCATCCCCCCCCCCCTTCCCGGCCCCCCGGGGGGAGGGGCGGAGCGGGCTGCCAGTCTCGAGTGGGGCATGTCCCCCTGCAGGAGGGATGTGCAAAAGCAGAGCTCACATCCTGTGGGGACGACTTGTGTTCACTATTGCTGGGCATTTTTGGATATTCTCTGACTGCTTTAATGCTTCGTCCGAAATCCGCCTGTAGGGGACACGCACGACCTAGCTTCAGTCGCTCAGACAGTCCCGAACGCGTTCAAAGCGTTCGGGAACGCTCTGAGAAAGCCGCGGTGCCCGATGCTCACCGCCCACCAAACCATCCCAACCCAACCCGAAGGCCGCGATTTACCCTCGATTTTCAGGGGGGGGGGGGGGTCGGGAAACAGTTGAAAAACACATGTGGAACCCTTACCCCCCCCAGCCCGAAATTCGGGTCTTCGGGTTGGGTTTTGGGTGGTCTGGTAGGTAGTCAGATGCACCCCTCGAAGCCGCCAGATCTCAGAGGTGTCCGCCCGATCCCGACCCGACTTTGTTCCGATCCTGCCATCCCAGACATGCGACGTCCTGATTTTTTCAGGACGGCGTCCCCGAAGTCCCGGCCCTTTCCCCGGGGCCGGTTTTTCGTCCTGAGTCGTTTTTTGACGGTCCCGAGGCCCGGCGAGGGCCCACCGAGGCCGAAAATATGCAAAAACCTCCCGTCCTGATTTTTGTTACGACGCGATCATGTCTGGGATGGCCTCACGGCCCTGACGTCCGCCGGTCTGACACTGGGCCGCCCGCGGCCCTCAGAGTCCCGACGTGCTTCTCCCCGGGCGTGTGCTTTTCTCGTCCAGCCCCAGGGCCCGAGGACTCGCCCCGGGAGCAGAGATCGAGGAGACACGCCCAGACTGAGAAGCATATCAGGAGAGGACAAAAAAAACACGGACACCATGAATCGTCGATCCCCAGGAACTAATAGGAAAATATGGGCAGTGGGGGAGGGGAAGACAGAACCCAGAAAAAATGTGGGACAATATACGGGGAACCCCTTTATATTTTGTGCCCCAGGGCCCCTTCCGAGCATATCCCATCGCGGGAGGCCCGGGGCCCCGCCCTCGCGATTCACGGCCCCGGCGCCTCCTGCCCCGACCCCCTCCCTTTTTTGAGGACAGCACAACGCACCCCCACCCCCACCCAGGGCACCCACCTCCGACCTGGTGATCCAGGGTGCCCTGGGTGGGGGTGGGGGTGTGTTTTTGGGCCCCGCAGCTCTTACAACCCACCCCCACCCCCACCCAGGGCACCCTGGACCACCAGGTCGGAGGTGGGTGCCCTGGGTGGGGGTGGGGGTGGGTTGTGCTGTCCTCATTTTTTGGGGAGCCCTCCAGCCAGCAGCTGCGGCGACGCCGACGCCCGCCGGACCACCGGCGCGGGCGGCGGCGGCGGCGGCCCGGCCCGGGGCGGCGCGGCGGCCGCGCCCGAGGCGGACGCGGCCCGCCACGAGGCTCCCGCGCCGGGGGAGCGGGCGGGCTCGAGCAGCCGGGGGGCGGGCGCGGCCGCGGAGGCGGAGGGCGGGGCCAGCGAGGCTGCGGAGGAGACCCAGACATGATCGCGTCGTAAAAAAATCAGGACGGGAGGTTTTTGCATATTTTCGGCCTCGGGGGGCCCTCGCCGGGCCTCGGGACCGTCAAAAAACGACTCAGGATGAAAAACCGGTCCCGGCGAATAGGTCTGGACCTCTGGTGGTCGCGTCATGAAAAAATCATGACGTCGGGGGTCTGGGCTCGAAGGTGCAGTCGGGCCTGTCCCGCTACAGGGCGGGAGCCCAAACGTAGCAACAACCACAAAAATAGTACGGGGACTTGATGTCTTTGGGGGACTCTGTTTGAGCATGTTGGGTTTGGGTCTGGGCGTCTTTTCATTATTCGCCCAGAATCTCCCCGTAGGGGGACAGGCCCGACCTAATTCTAAGGAGGGGGCAATTCGGCTCGGGGGGGCACATCGACCCCCACGCGCCCATTCCCAGAGATCCGATGTCGTGATTTTTTCCATATGGGGTCCCCGGAAGTCTCGACCCATTCCCCAGGACCGGCTTTTCATCCTGAGTCGTTTTTTGACGGTCCCGGAGCCCGGCGAGGGCCGCCTCGAGGCCGAACATCGGCAAACACCTCCGTCTTGATTTTTTCGATGCGTCGGAGGTCTGGGTTCCTCGCCGAGAGGGGCCCGAGACAGCCCGCCCCGGGAGCGTGCGGAGGCGCTGCCTGGGTCGCAGCGCCCGCCCGTCGGCGATGCATCGCCGATGCGAGGTCGACGGCTCTCCCCGTGAGCCAGCCCTCCGATCCGGGCCCCCTCGAGCACTGGAAAAATCGCGACGGAAGGTTTTTCAAGAGTTTCGGCCCCTGGGGGCCCTTACCGGGCCTCGCGACTGTCAAAAGGCGACTCGGGATGACAAATTGGTGCTGGGGAATGGGTTCAGACCGCTGGGGGTCGACGTTATGAAAAAATAAATCATGACGTCGGAGGTCTGGGGAGGCGGGAACTTCTACATGACCACCGCCTGGAGGGTCAGTTTTCGGAGCCTCGGCAGGCTGTGGATATGGACAGATTCGGGCCCCCGGGGGCCGAAATGTATCCATGTCCACCGCCCGCTGGGGCGCCAGGACGTCGGTTCCCAGGCGGTGGATATGGACAAATCCCCGCTTCGCAAGTCCCCCCCCCCCCAATCGCTGCCCCCCACGAGGCCAGCGCGTCCGCGGAGGCGGCGCGCGGCGCCGAGGAGGCCGTGGAGGGGAAGGAGGCGGCGCTGGCCGAGCTGGCTTCCGAGGCACAGTGCCGGGCCGCCCACCTGCTGCGCGTCACCTCGCAGGTGCGGCAGGAGCTCTCGGAGCAGGCTGGCGAGGCCGCTCTGGCGAGGGAAGCCGCGCAGCAGCTGGAGCTCGAGGGGAGAAATACGATGACCAGATGATCAAGATGCCACGGGATCCTGTCGACGCCGACCCTGGTAACGGTCCATGCCGGCCCGTCGCCGATTCGCGGCGGGGATGATTCACGAATTGATGATGACCAAGGTAGACGGCGACCAAGATCGGCACCGACGTTTCTGCGTTCAGTCTTGGCCATGGCCCTCGTATTCTTTCCCTCCAGGAACAGTCGCTGCGCGAGGCGACTTCCGAGAAGGAGCTTCTCCAGCAAGAGATGAGGCAGGCCGCGGAGGAGGCGAGGGAAGAGCTGGCAGCGAGGGTAAGGTGCATGGAGGACGAGCACGAGCGGCTGCTCGAGGAGTCTGCAAGCAGGAGCTGTTTTTTTGTGTTCTCGGCGAGTTCCAGCATTGATCGAAATGTTATCAGATGGCCTCGCTCTGGGGGCAAGACAGTCTGCTCAGACGGTCAGTGTGCCGATCCTCTTTGGGTGCTTCTGAATTATTCACCAGCACCACTCACGGCATGCACGGCTGGACAGTGTTCGATCGATCGTGATTGCCGTGTTCCGTTCCCCTACTGTCCCACATGCAGACAGAGTAGAACACAATGTTGCATTCATGCGATTATTCGTTGTTCCTCTTTCGGGCCCTCCAGGGCTGAATCTTCCACGCGCACGCCAGCTTCAAAAAACCTGCGCTTCTCCGTCCATGATACATACTTCTGAAATTATGAGCCGCGATTGAATCTCTGCCTGACACTAACACGGAACGGGCCCGACACAGTCCTTGGGTGCGTGGCTGATGTGCGATTTCGCGATGCGCATTGAACTCTCTTTACTGAAAGACATATGGTTGATCCCCCTGCCCAGTGTCGCTTGCAATGCGTCCCACACGGCTCGCACCCTGTTTTTGATCAGGGAAGGTCCTCGGCTCGAACTGTGCCCCTGGCCACCAAGTCACAGCAACAGCAACAACAACAACAACAAAAACAACAACAGCAGCAACAGCAACACCAACAGCACCAACACCAGCACCAACAACAACAGCAACAACAGTAACAGCAACAACAACAACACCACCAACAACAGCAACAACAGCGGCTCCCGCCGGATATTTCCTCGCAAAGTATTATAAGTCGCGCTCGCGCATGAGAAGTCCTTACAACTTACTCAGGGATCAGGCTCTCGCCTAGGACTCCCTGTCAGCTTACACAGCCGCTGCAGTCTCGACGTCCAGGTGCGCGCCCTCGCGCGGGACTTCACACCTTACGCAGGACTCGTGTTCTCGCCTGAGGCTTCCTCACAGTGTGCCAAATTCGCTTCAAATTCGAATTTGGTACATTATGAGGAAATTCTGAAAAAAAACAGTGTACCAAATTCGCTTCAAATTTGAAATTGAACTCGCTGAAAAAACAGTGTACCAAATTCGCTTCCACGCCCTTCTCGCCCGACCCGCCCGGTTCTGGCCCGCCCGACCGGCCCGTGAGGCTGCGCCCGTCCGACCCGCCCCCGTCCTGGACCGCCCGCTCGCCTGCCTGGCAGCCCGCCCGCCCGCTTCAGTGCTCCGGTCGCTCCGCCCGTTGGGGTCGGCCCGCCCGACGCGCCCGCCAGAGTCAGCCTGCCCGCCCCGTCCGTGCGGGCCCGCCCGCCCGACCTTCCCGTCGGGGTCCGGGCTCTCGCGCACTCGGAGAAGTCCGCCCGCCCGCTTGCATGCCCCACCCGCCCGACACGCCCGTCAGGGCCCGCCCGCCCGACCCGCCCGTTCGGACCGCCCCCCCCCCCCCCTCGTCTGGGTCCGTGTGTCAAAATCGTTGGTTATCTCTTCTTCTCCCTTTTGCTAGATCTTCTTCGCCCTCAATCCTCGTCCACTCCTCGTGCCGCCCTCCGTTGTCGCTTTTTTGTTGGTTGTTCCTCGCATTCTGTTTAACAGGCCGCGCCAACCACGCGTGGCAGGCAAGGGAGATGGACCCCCCAAGTGGGCACGATCGAAGACGAAGAGGGCGCGCAACAAGGACTTTGGGTTTGCGGATGTGTTGGGTGAGACGCGAGCATCGAAGAGCGAACAGGTTTGTAATGAGTGGTGTTACTTGTTGGTTGATACGATGTTTAAAGAAGCATGGTTGATCTCATCCTCTGGTGCTCATTGTACTTGCTATTAAAGTGCCCCCTCCGGGGCTTTCATGCTGTTTTTCCCCACCATCCTGTGGTGCTGGGTCCTCGCTTTGAAAAGACAGCGCTCCTCGTCCTTCCTTCTACTCCTTCCTCTTCCTCCCGGTCCTTCCTCCCTCCTCCCATCCCTGCCTCGGCCCTCTGCCTGTTTCTGCTTCGGCACACCTCTCGCATGCTTCGTGGCCCCATGGGAAGCTCCACGGAAGGCCCCAGCGGCAGGGCCCGTATGTCGTAACCGCACCCGATTCGGCACACCCCACACGCTTCGTGGCCCCATCGGGAGCTCCACCGAAGGCCCCAGCGGCAGGGTCCGCATGTGTACCCGCGCCCGTTGCGGCACACCCCTCACACGTTCCGTGGCCTCCTGCAACCCCCCCGCGAAATTTACCGCAAGTTTTGCCGACCCCCCCTCGCCCCCAATTTCAATGTTCAATTGCGCGCGCGGCGCGGTGCGCGGACGCCGTCGGGAAACTTGAAGTCACGCGTTTCGGAAACAACATTGAGAAATGTTGGGATCTGGGGGGCGCCAGCGCGGCGCGGGAAAACTTGCGTGAAGTTGCGCGGAGGGGTGGTCGCGCGGCCCCGCTCGTCGGCTCCTTCTGGCGCGCTTTGGACAGTCAGTGATCCTTCGCGGGAGCGCCTTTCAGTCCGCCGCCCCGTCGGCGCCCGCGCGGCTGCGCCGTGCCGGCGCGCATCTCGCTCGGCCCCCCTGGGCCGCCCCGCCGCGCCCGGCGCGCCCCGCGCCACCGGCGAGCCCCGCGCGCGGCGCGCCCGGTGTACTAGGTGCGCCTGGCGCATGGCGCACGCGGCACGCCCCAGACGGACTACGATCTCCACGCGCGCGCGCTCCGCGCGATGCCGCCGCCCGCCCGCTGGGCACCGAGACTGATTTGCCGGGGCCCGGGGGCTTCGTGGGCGGGGCCCGCCTAGGGCGCTGGCGCCCCTCCCCTGTTCACTGTTCGCCTTCCTGCCGCGGCGCCCTCACGGCGGCGCTGGCCCAGAAGCGCGCCAGGCCTGCTGGGCCTATGTGTGCTTTCCAATTTCTATTCGTTCGCCATGCAGTTGCGAATTAGTTGCCATATAGGTTTTCTCTGGGTGCCAATCGCTTCCATTCAAAGTGCATTCTAATTAGTCGCTGTTACTTCTGGAAAAGAAGCGATTGGCAACTAGAGAGAATATTCCTCTTCCTATACTTTTATAAGTCCGGGCGGGGGGAAAACCCATCCCCCCCCCCCCTCAAAACCGTACTCCCGGGATCTGGGGCTTTGGAACCCTCCGGACGGGCCTCGAAGCGGCCCCCCGGGCCTTGCAGGGCGTTTTGACAATCCTTCGCAGCACACCTGGGGCGATCAGGGGGGTCATCGGAGACGTCCCAGACCCCCAAGACAGCACAAGAGCGCTCCAAGAGTGACCGACGTGACCTCAAGATGGCCCAAGAGGCCTCCAGGACGGCCCCAAAGAGGCCTCCAAGAGCACTCCCAAGAAGGCCCCAAGAGGCAAAACTCATTAGGTTTCTGTGGTTTTTGGTGAATCGTGGGGTTCTCCTCTTTTCGGCTTCCCGACGCTCCAAGACGGCGGTCTTCTGGGCGTCCGAAGCCGCCTGGGAAGCTCCAAAATCGCCCCACAAACATCCGAAAGGGCTTCCAGGCAGTCCAAGAGATCCGCAGAACGGGCACAACACGGGTCGAAGATGGCCCTCAGAGAGCCCCGTGGCGGCCCAAGATGGCCCCAAGACACCCTCCGAAGCATTTCAAATCGTGACCCGGTCGTTCAGGGAGACCGCGGTTGGAGGCAGGGTGGCCCGAGGAAGCCCCCAGAGGCCCCCAGAATACACCCAGGAGGCCTCCTGAAAGCATTAAGAAAGCCTGAAACAACTTTTGTGAGGCCCCCAGAGGCTCTCCAAGGAGGAGCCTCCGCAATAAAGAGCTGAGGAGGATGGGGAGTTGCGCAGGGTATGGCGAAAATAAAGAAAAAGAAGCATGGAGAAAGGATAACGAATCACATTATTATAGCGGCGATGCCGGAACTGGCAACAAGGAGGTATCGCTAAATTGTCGGCTTGGCCTTCCTGCAATTCCGCCTGCATACCACACTTCAAGGACCAAGGTGCATGGCGCGAAGCGCCACTGCAGTCTTGCGTACATATATATATATATATATATATATATATATATATACATATGTAGCAAAAACATATGGCAACCGAGTAGCAATTGGAAAAAACGCAGGCCGGCGAGCAAGGTGTCTCCAGGCCAAGCTGTGGCACGCCGTGCTCGCCTCCGGGCGGCGGGGTGGGCCGCGGAAGTCCCGCGGGCGGGCCGCGGCGGGCGAGCCGCGACTTGCCCACGAGGGGCCGGCCAGAGTGCCTCTCTGCGTGCCAGCCCGGATCACCAAAATCATAACGGGGTCTCAGGCCGGAGCAGCAGTGCATCCCCGCCGCCAGACTCCATGAGCGGAGGAGGAGGAGGAGGAGGAGGAGGAGGATGAAGAGGAGGAGGAGGAGGAGGAGGAGGAGGAGGAGGAGGAGCCAGTGCCCGCCCAGTGCTCGTCGCCATCGCTGCCGTTGACGTCGGCGTCGGCGCGGACGGTGTCGCCGCCGTCAGCCCCCCGCGAAGCTTTTTGACGCCAGCAGCGGTATGGGGCCACTAGACGTGTGAGAGGTGTGCCGAAACGGACGACGGGGAGGCAGAGGGCGACACCATTTGGGCAGCGGGCGGGGCTCCCGATGGGGCCACACGAAACGTGTGAGGGGTGTGTCGAAATAGGCGGCGGGGACGCAGACAGGCGGCACCATGTGGACCCTGAGTGGATCTCCCCATTGGGCCACGAAGCGTGCGCGTAGTGTGCCGAAATGTGAGGCGGAGACATATGCGGGCAGCCATGTGGGCCTTGGGTAGAGCTCCCCATGAAGCCACGAAACGTGCGGGGTGTGTGCAGAAATTTGTGGCGGGACGTATGCGGGCGGCACCATTTGGGCCTTGGATGGAGCTCCCGATGGGGCCACGAAACGTGTGAGGGGTGTGCCGAGTTGGTTGGCATGGGGAGAGCAGAAGCAGGGATGGAAGGAGGGAGGCGGGCGAGGAGGAGAGGAAGGAACGCGGGGCGCTGTCTCTTCAAAGCGAGGACCCAGCCCTACAGGGTGGTTGGGAACAAACATTCAAACCCCAATGTCATTCGAACACATCCTGTGTCCCCCTCTGTCCCACGCTGCCCTTCTGAGTTGTGTATCGAATTTGTTGTCATTCTTGCGTCGGAGATCTTCGCAGCCCCAGCGGTTCGCGGGCCTGCTGCGAACACGCGATCGTATTCCACGCGCGACTTACGAATGCGTACGGCGACCGTCGCCATGCCCTTGCAGGCCCCAATCGCGCCAGGATCTTGCAGCCGCTCGCAGTGCATCTGGCGGGCCCGGTGCTGATGCCACGGCGTGAGTTCTCGCGCCCGTGCGGATCTGTAGGCGTTGTTGCTCTCCTCGTACTTCGCGACCATCGCCGCCAGCAGCCCCCATCCCCAGACGTCCTCCGACCTGGTTCTCCCACCCCACGGGCCCAGGGGCCCCGACCGCTCCCCCAGGGATAATTTCTCGTCCCGGATCCGTTCTCGATGGCCCCGGGCCCCGGGGCCCGCTGACGGGCCCCATGCAGGGGCCCAAATCCAAGGAGAGAACCGAGATGGCAACCAATCGTATCGCCCGAGGCTCGGGCACGCTTCAGCTGCCGCTGCCGCTCGAGACCGCAGCCGTCGCTGCGCGTGGGCGAGGCAGGGCGTGGCCATGGGCGTGCCTTCTGCAGAGCCGGCGGCGCCGGCTCCGGACCGCGCCGGGGCCCCTCAGGCGGAGAGGCAGGACGGCGCGGAGCTGGCGGAGCTCCTGGAGCGCTTCAGGCTGACCAAGTTTGGCCCGGCACTGGAAGCGATGGGCGTGGAGAGCCTGGAGGACTTCGCCTACCTGCAGGAGCGGGGCCGTTCGTGAGGGCGACCCTCGTCGCCGGAGCGTCCTGTGGTGCGCGGCTTCTGGTGGGATCATCGGAGGGGCCACGCTCGCAGGCCGCCACCGTCGCGCCGCATGCACTGGTCGGCGAGCCGCGCACCGAAAGTCCGTTTTGCCCACAGTCAAGACGCTCAGATACTTACCACGTTGGGCTCAGGAGGAGCACAGATGTTCGGGCCTAGGGGGCGGGAAACCTTCTCGTGGCCGAGGCTCGCCGGGGCCAGAGGAGCCCTTTCGTTCCTTATGCAGCGGTCCTTGCGGTAGCGCGATGACTGTAGCCGCAGACGTCCTCGGGTATGATTTTCCCACTCCGCGGGCGCTTCCCCAAGGGAAGTTGTTCGTCCCGGGTCGTTGTTCGATGGCTCTGGGACCCGATACGTTTTCAATCGCTTGTCGCGCATGACGGCCGTTCTTCGCAACCACGCTGCCCAGTCTTTCACCTCTGCTCCCCCTCTTCGTGCGCGCTTCCGTCCGCCCTGTTCTTCGCCTGTTCGGTTTCGCACATCATCGGCTGCACGAGTCCTGAAGCAAACCCAGAGACCTCAAGCTTGCTCGTTTGGTCTGCGCGGTCATCGCTGAGAGGAAATGCCGCCAGACATTTGGGCCCGAAGGATCGGCGTCACCCAACCATACCAATACTAAGTGTACGTCGCCCCCCCTCCCCCCCCCCCCCCAGGGGCGACGCGCGCACCGAGAAATCGTATAGTATATACGTCGTGGCGGGCGCTTTCTGACCACACCGCTCGGGAAACGATGTACTACAAGATGGGCATATTATGTGTTCGGGTCGGACGCGCGCCTCCAAGGAAAACATATAATATTAGTATTTCTTCTTGCGTTCCAGAAGGGAGCGGACCTGGAGACAGATGTTAGCAATAAGTATTACTCACGGTGCTACGCACGGTATGAAGATCAGAGCTACGATAGGAACCTTGGGGGGATAATGAAGCTCGGCCTCCCCGCCTGTTGTGGAGAATCAGATAGAGGGAGCCCCAGGCATAATCATATATATATATATATATATATATATATCGGAGGGGTACTCTTTCTTGTCGGGCTGCGGCTACCGCCCAACATGTGGGCCCGAAGGAGGCGGACCTGGAGAAGCTGGGCATGCCGCTGATCCCCCGGCGCAAACTGCTGGAGGCGTGCGGCGGCCAGTGGCGCACCGGCGCGCCCGCCGCGGCGCCTGCCGCGGAGGCCGCCGCGGCGGGGGCGGCTCCGGCGCCCGCCGCTCCAGTGCAGCCACAGGAGGTCGCTTGGGGATCGCTCCTCTCCTCCTCCAGCCGCTGGAGGTCGCTCAGGGTTCGCGTATTTCTGTCCACCCATGACCTCTCCATGGCCGCACCCTAGAATCAATGTTTTTTGGGCCCCAGAGAGAGTATCTTGCGTCGCAAGGTTCGAACTTATGGCCCATGCACGGTCCTTCCTCCCTCCCCTTCTTGTTGTTGATAATTCCTCCCTGTTGCACCCCGAGACGGGTCGGTAGGGCGGGCTGGGCGTTTCGCCTGAGATTTCCTAACCGCTGGCGGTCCTTACGCTCAGACTTTGCAACACCTTCACTGGTGAAGGGCGGGTGGTTTTCAAAATGCGGTTCTCGCCTTAGGCCGCGCGCATTGGCTTGAAAAGTCTGCAAGCGCTTTACCGATGGATGGCGGGCCGTTTTCGACATGCGGTTCTGTTCTCAGCGCCGCGCACATTCGCTTCAAAAGGTTGCAAGAGCTTCACATGTGGAGGGCGGGCGGTTTTCGACATGTGGTTATCGCCCTTTGCACCGCGCGTGCTCGTCTGAACAATTTGTAAGAGCTTCACGGACGGAAGGCGGCTTTTTCCAAAAAATATCCCGGCAAGGCAACCTAACAGCGATGTGTATAAGCATATTTGGAAGCATTCCTCTTAAAATTCAGGTGAGAATCCAGTTGCAGAATTTTGCTGTTCTCGCAGTCGCAGTCGCATTCGCAATGACAGTCGCAGTGGCAACGGCCTTGGATCCAATGGAATCCTAAGGATTCCTAGGGATTCCTAAGGATTCCTATGGATTCCTACGGATGCCTCAGCCTGCCTCAGTTTCAGCCTCAGCCTCAGCCTGCCTCGGCTTGCCTCAGCCTCAGCCTCAGCCTGCCTCGGCCTCAGCCTCAGCCTCAGCCTGCCTCGCCCTCGCCTCGGCCTCAGCCTCAGCCTCAGCCTCAGCCTGCCTCAGCCTCAGCCCTCAGCTGCCTCAGCCCCAGCCTGCATCAGCCTCAGCCTCAGCCTGCCTCAGCCGCAGCTTGCCTCAGCTTCAGCCACAGCCTCAGCCTCAGCCTCAGCCTGCCTCAGCTTCAGCCTCAGCCTCGGCTGCCTCGGCCTCAGCGTCAGCCTCAGCCTCAGCCTGCCTCGGCCTCAGCCTCAGCCTCAGCCTGCCTCAGCGTCAGCCTCAGCCTCAGCCTGCCTCGGCCTCAGCCTCAGCCTCAGCCTGCCTCAGCCTCAGTCTCAGCCTGCCTCAGCCTCAGCCTCAGCCTCAGCCTCAGCCTCAGCCTGCCTCGGCCTCAGCCTGCGTCAGCCTCAGCCTCAGCCTGCCTCAGCCTCAGCCTGCCTCAGCCTCAGCCTCAGCCTGCCTCGGCGTGCCTCAGCCTCAGCCTCAGCCTGCCTTGGCGCAGCCTGCCTCGGCCTCAGCCTGCCTCAGCTCGGGCATTCAAGATATGGCACAGGACTGGTGTTCTGGGAACACGAAGATCACGAAGTGGCCTACGGTTGGCTCCGGGCAATCGAAATATGGTACAGGAATGGTGTTCTGGGAACACGAAGAACACGAAGTGGCCTACAGTTGGCTCCGGGCATTCAAAATGTGGCCTGGGAATGGTGTTCTGGGAACGAAGAACACGAAGTGGCTTACAGTTGGCTCCGGGCATTCAAAATGTGTCCTGGGAATGGTGTTCTGGGAACACGAAGAATACGAAGTGGCCTGCAGTTGGCTCCGGGCATTCAAAATGTGGCCTGGGAATGGTGTTCTGGTTCAAAATGTGGCCTGTGAATGGTGTTCTGGGGAGTCCCCGGATCTCCCCCGTTTTCCGCAGCACCCGTCCGGCATCTGCCCAGAAGCCCCTGGGGAGTCATGATGCTCTCTTTCGAGACCACTAGAAACCTATCAGTCTTCGCTGTTAGGTACATAGTTCTCGCTTGATTACCGCGCACATTCGTCTTCAGAGCGTGCAGCACTTTTAATAAAGGATCCTTACAGCTAGTGTCCCAGAGATGACTCGCCTGGCACGGCTCAGGACTTTCAGACGGTTGTCTTCCAACGGGGCGCCTCGGTCAATGGAAATGAGTTCTTGTAGGGGCCTGTGAGGAGGGGATTTGGAGGCAGGAAGTATTGCAACATCTTCTGGGAGGCTCTTGTCGCCACGGCTGTACTCGCTTCGAAGTCCGATGCAGGACGCACCCCAGGAGAGGTCCGGAGAGCAGCGTTCTCGATATCTCTTGGTTTCCCCACGTCATCTTCCCTTCCCTTCCTATCATATTGGCTTCTTTCCTTCGCCCTCCTCTCACCGTCCTCCTCGTGGTCCTGATCCTCCTCCCCATCGATGTCGCTGCTCCCCCCTTCCTTTTCTGACCAGGAGGCCGCTCTGGACTCCTGCCTCCTTCTCCTCTTCCCAGCTTCTCTCTCCTCCCTGCCTCCTCCCGGCTCCTCCTCGCGGCGACCTCCGTTCGATCCATGCCCCTGCTGCCGCCCTTCACTCTGGGCGACAGGGGAAGCAGGACACGGATGAGAAGCGTGGCTCCAGAGGCCAGGCCGTTGTTCATGCCGCCGTGTTGGTCCTTCGTGGGGTCGGGGCGTGAGCAGGGGCATGGATAACATGTCGATTGCCTCTCCTCCCTCCTCCTCCTCCTCCTCTTCCTCCTCCTCCTCCTCCTCCTCCTCCTCCTCCTCCTCCTCCTCCTCCTCCCCTTCCTCCCCTGGGGGTTAAGAGGCTGCCTGACTGCGTTGGAGGTTGTGGAGCGTGCTGTGGTACAGGCTGCGCCACCATCGAGGAAGGAACAACTGCGCAGACATGCGTTCTCGGAGGCCCGCGCGGGTTTCGCAGAGGTCAGCGCCGATCTCAAAGACCCGTGCGGGCATCCGAATTTCGACGGTTCAGTCGGCCTGCGGGTTTCTCAACAAAACCTCGCGAAGTGCCTATCTTTTGCATCGTGTCCCTTTTGGGTTCGAACGAGTGCGGCAGTACAGGCATGTTTTAAAATGCGTGTAACAGCCACGAAGGAGCAAGCTGCCGATTGCCAATGAAGAGTGCAGTTCTTACTTGGAGCTTAACGATTTTTCCGTGGCGTAGAGGCCGGTACATCCTCTCTCGGTGCGTGGGCGAAGTGGGATCCCGTGGCCTGGATTATGCTTGTTTGTTGCCTGTTGTTGTCGTCGCCCCCCCCCCCCCCCCCCACGACTCACCCGCGACCCACCCGCGGCCCAACCCGCGACCCACCCCGCGACCCACCCCGCGGCCCACCAGCGACCGACCCCGCGCCCGCCCCCGCACTCTCGTCCGAAACTGCGGGGTGCTGCGTGCACGCTCGCGCAGTTTTGCTCTTCTTCTGCAGCAGCGGTGCCAGACGGCACCTCCGACGGTGCGGCCGAGAGACCGGCGGCGGGCGACGATGTCGAGGGCGACGAGGAGGAGTTCGCCGACCACGACTCGGAGCTCGCGGAGATGCTTGCGAACCTCGAGCTCTTTATAGAGGATTTCGTCTCGGCGAACGTCCTGGACGACGAGTCGTGGGCGGCCCTCACGGACATCCCCCCCGTGGCGGCCCTGCGGGCCATGGGCCTCATTGGAAAGGGCAACGCCTTCGTGATGAAGGGGGTGCGGAAGCCTGGCCCGGCAGTGCTGTCCCGGACACGCGCGGCCGTCTCGGAGGTGAACAGGAGCAGCGGGCTGCCCAGCAGCGTCCCGTACGAGGATCGAAGAAAGTAATAGTAAGTCGGGCGCGTCCCTCTACAGGAGGAATATTCAAAAATAATCCCAAAAAGTAGTCTGGGGACGATTTTTCGATTCTTGTTTGCCATTGCTGAAGTGCTTGGAGGCAATTGTTTATGTTACCTCAGAGATCTGCCTGTAGAGGGACACGCCCGACATAAAGGTATTACCTTGGAGCCGGCTGGGGGCCCGGAGGTGGCCCAGCATTGGTTCCGACCGACAGGAAGGGGGGGGGCGAGGTTCGAGCGTCTGGGTTCGGGCATCTGCGTTGCTCTGTTGTGTCTATCTCCCGCTGCCGTTTTCGGCCCCAGGGGCCAGCAGAAGCAAGTCCGAAGGGAAGCATTAGACCACATGGACCCCGAGAGGGGTTCGGGGACCGATGTGTTGCGGATTTGCCCTTCTCCCTCCGTCTTGACAGATTTTCCCGGGGCCCGTCCAGCTCAGACCCTTTGGCCGCCTCCAAGCAGCAGCAACAATCTGTGTAAGAAGAGTGGTCGCTCATCGTTGCCCGCAAGTCACACAACAAAGCCCTCCACGCCCGCCCTCTTCGTCTTCGATCCTACCTCCTCTGGGTGATATACCCTCCTTGCCGGCCACTTGTAGCCAGCGCGGCTCCAAAAATAGGAGGAGGAGAAGGAGGAGGAGGAGTGAGAAAGAAAAAAGGGATAGAGCGAGGCATGGATCAGGAAAGAGGGAGGGAAGGGGGGCAAGAGGAAGATTAGAGGAACGAGGGCGAAAAGCAGTTCAGGACGGAGAGGGCAGAGAGAACATGAGGATTGGCAGGCCTTGGCGGGACGACAAAGCGGGCGGGCGGGCGAACGGGCGGACCCTCAAGGGCGGTCGGGCGGGTGGACTTTGACGGGCGGGTCAGGCACGCGGTCACTGACGGGCGGGTCGGGCGGGCGGGGCACTAAAGTTAAGTCGGGCGTGTCCCTCTACAGGGGGAATATTCAAAAATAGTCAGAAAATAGTCTGGGGACGATTTTTGTTACTATGTTTGACTATTTTGGGGCATGTTTTGCATATGTTTACTTTGTTGCACAAAATCCGCCTGTAGGGGACATGCCCGACCTAACACTAAAGCGAACTCAGCAACTTGGGAAAGAAGGCTGCGGCGAGAACACGGTTCTTGTGTAAATTGAAAGGGGGTCTTCTGCGGGAGAGCGATCTCCTTGACGTCGACAGCGCAATGCTTGCGTACGTTTTCAGGGAGTCCGAGGGTAGAGCGCGATTGTTGGGCAAATTGCGAGGAAGATTCGGGCGCGAGCGCGATCCTATACTAAATTGTGACGGTGCATTAGGCGGACAGCCGTTGTTGTGGTAGTCGGGGGACCAACAACACAGCTTGATCAGCAAGATTTTCCTTTCACCGATGGGGGGCACTCCTACTGAAAGGTAACGGAGTCTGGCCATGGGGGGATCATCGATAGTCATTCTTCGATTCGATCTCGATTCACCCGTATCGGTCGGTACTTCTCTGAGCCAGGCGCGGCGATCTGATTTCGATCCGATTCGGAACTCTCCGCTGGCGGTCCGATCGTTTCCGAGCCGATCCGATTTCGCCATTCGGTCCAGCTCGAGCCTCCAACATACGTCGGCTGCGAGCCGGGGGGCGAAGTGAGAAGGGGCTGGCCTTCTCAGAAGGCTCGGAAGTCCTCCAGCCTTCTGAGAAGTTGGTTCTAAGCTTTTCCCGAAGACAGAGAACATCTCTCAGAAGGCGCGAGGGCTTCTGAGAAGTCCCGCCACCTTCTGAGAAGTCCTCGTCCTTCTCACGCCCCCCCCTCGCTCGTCGCCGATTATAGTCAAAACTGGCGTTCAAGACGATCCTTTCAAGCATGGCGCCCTTGTTCATGTCGATTCTGGGCATCTTGTGCGTGCTTCCTGTTTCGCCTGTCCCAGGGTGCCATGGCATCTTGGTGCGTTCTGGGCGCGCTGCCCCCTCTTTGCTCCGTTCTTACAGCTCGTGGCTGGTGTCGATGGCACGGTTACCTTGGTTGTGCCTGGTTGCTCTGGAGTGCCGGGTCAGACGAGAAGCAGCATTAGGGAGAGAGAAAGAGAGAGAGAGAGAGAGCACGAACTCTGCTTCCTGCGGCTGCTGTCGACCCCGCCGCCGGGGGCCTTCCTCGACGCATGCCGCCGCCTCCGCCGCCGGGCGCGGCGCTGGGAACACCAGCTGCGCAGGCTGATCTGCTGAACTTTCGACCCCCCCCCCCGTTCGTCCGAGCGCTTCTCCGCCTTTCCCCGGTAAGCTGGTCCATACCCCGGTAAACTGGTCCATTCCCTGGCGCCACCGGGGAGTGTGCCACTTTTCTGGTGTTGTCATTTGCTTGCGAATGTTTCGCCCGGGGTCGCCCCGAGAAAGTACCCAGCGCAGATTGGTGGACTCACGTCGGCGCGTGCGCGCGCCTGTGTGCTGTGTGTGTGCGTGTGTGCTGCTGTGTGTGCTGTGCATGCGTGCTGTGTATGCGTGCTGTGTGTCTGCTGTATGTGCGGTGTGTGTGTGTGTGTGTGTGTGCGCTGTGTGTACGGTGTGTGCGTGGCTTGTGTGGTGTGCGATGTGTGTGTGTGTGTGGTGTCCGCTGTGTGCGCGGTGTGTGCGTGCGGCGCGCGCGGTGGTGCCGTGCTGCATGGTGCACCTTATGATGCCTTATATAGCACTACCTTTGATGTACCTGGGAGGGCTTCCTAGGTCCTAGGGAATCCCAGGAATCCCTGGGGATCCCACCAATCGCCAGATTCCTGAGAGGGCCTTTTAGGGAATCCCGTGCGGCGCGCGCGGTGGTGCCGTGCTGCATGGTGCAATCCCTGGGGATCCCACCAATCGCCAGATTCCTGAGAGGGCCTTTTAGGGAATCCCGGGCGGCGCCCGCGGTGGTGCTGTGCTGCATGGTGCACCTTGAGATGCCTGATATAGCACTACCTGTGACGTACCTGGGAGGGCTTCCTAGGTCCTAGGGAATCCCAGGAATCCCTGGGGATCCCACCAATCGCCAGATTCCTGAGAGGGCCTTTTAGGGAATCCAGGGCGGCGCGCGCGGTGGTGCCGTGCTGCATGGTGCACCTTATGATGTCTTATAGAGCAATACCTTTGACGTACCTGGGAGGGCTTCCTAGGTCCTAGGGAATCCCAGGAACCCCTGGGGATCCCACCAATCGCCAGATTCCTGAGAGGGCCTTTTAGGGAATCCCGTGCGGCGCGCGCGGTGGTGCCGTGCTGCATGGTGCACCTTATGATGTTTTATAAAGCACTACCTTTGACGTACCCGGGAGGGCTTCCTAGGTCCTAGGGAATCCCAGGAATCCCTGGGGATCCCACCAATCGCCAGATTCCTGAGGGGGCCTTTTAGGGAATCCAGGGCGGCGCCCGCGGTGGTGCCGTGCTGCATGGTGCACCTTATGATGCCTTATATAGCACTACCTTTGACGTACCTGGGAGGGCTTCTAGGTCCTAGGGAATCCCAGGAATCCCTGGGGATCCCACCAATCGCCAGATTCCTGAGAGGGCCTTTCAGGGAATCCCGTGCGGCGCGCGCGGTGGTGCCGTGCTGCATGGTGCAATCCCTGGGGATCCCACCAATCGCCAGATTCCTGAGATGGCCTCTGAGGAAATCCTACGGAGTTCTAGGGATACCACCATTCCCAGATTCATGGGAGGGTCTCCGAGGGAATCCTAAGAATTCCTTTGGATCCTACCAATTGCAAAATTCCTGAGATGGCCTCTTCGGGAATCCTGAGAATCCCTCGGGATCCTGCAAATTCCAAGAGTCCTGCGACAGCCTCCGAAGGAATCCTAGGAACTCCTAGGGATCTTACCAATTGCCTGATTCCTGCGAGGGCCTCGTAAGGGAACCCTGCGAAATCTTCAGGATCCTACCACCTCCCTAATTCCTGGGAGGGCCTCCTCGGGAATCCTAGGAACTCCTCGGGATCCCACCACATGCAAGATTCCTGAGATGGCATCTTCGGGAATCCGAAGAATTCCGATGGATCCGACCAAGTCCCAGATTCCTGGGATGGCCTCCTGGCGAATCCTAGGAATTCCGCCGGATCCGACCAGTGGCCAGATTCCTGAGAGGGACTCTGAAGGACTCCTGGGGGCTCCTCGGGGTCCCACCAACTCCCAGATTCCTGCGACAGCCTCCTGGGGAGTCCAAATTCTTCGGGACCCCACTAATTGCCAGATTCCTGAGAAGGCCTCTTAAGAACTCCTAGGCATTCCTTTGGATCTGACCAATTCCCCGATTTCTGGGAAGGGCCTCCTAGGAATCCGAAGGTTCGTACCGATTGCCAACTTCCTGAGAGGGCCTCTTAGGGAATCCTACAAATTCCAAGGGATCCTACCAATCCCCGAATCCTTGGGATAGGAATTTCTAAGGATCCGACCCGTTGCCAGATTCCTGGTAGGGCATCTTAAGGAACCCTAGTGCTTGGGGCAACCCCCATGAGGAAGAGGAGGTCGGAGGACTGGAAAGACCAGTCGGAGGTAAACGGCTCCAAAACTTAGAAGATGCGTAGATCCCACACGGGGGTCGGGCAACACGCATGCAATGTTAGATGTTTTAGCATTGCGCATGTGCATATACGTTGCGCAGATGCATATGCGTTTACAGTTATACACCCATAGGCGCGCATTTATATGGATGTGTGAACATAGATGTGTATAGGTATGTGTGTACATGTACACGCACGTGTATATGCATACACATGAGTCTGTGTGACTGCCAGTGTATATGTAACTGTAGATGAGGAAGCACTTGCGGTGTACATTGATGTGTGAATATATAAACATGTATATATGTGCATCGATGCATGTACATATTCGTGTACATATGCATGCATTTTGTCATACATATGTGTATACACATGTGTGTACAACCATGCATACAAGCATACTATATACATACACCCATCCATACGTACAGACATACAGACAGATCCAGTCAACCAAGCAACTAACGAACCAACCAACCAGCAG